TCTCTCTCTCTCTCTCTCTCTCTCTCTCTCTCTCTCTCTCTCTCTTTCTCTCTCTCTCTCTCTCTTACTCTCTTTCTCGTTTTCACTCTTACTTCCTCTTTTCCCGTTTTCCTCATCTAAATGAGCGGAAAGCCAGTGGACTCTTCTTCATTGATAAACGGAAGAATGAAGCTTTTAAAACGAATGAAAGCTTTACGCACAAGCCTTTAATCTCATATTAATATTTTTCTTTCATTATCAATTGTTTACTTCATCAAGGTTAATATTTTCTCACTTGCAACGTGACCAAATATTTCCCTTATCAATTTCACATGCTCCATCGCTGCTCTCTCTCTCTCTAATAATTTTGTGTAATTTGTATATTGAGTTTTAAAAATATTTAGAGAAATAAAATTTATCAAATTTTTCGGTTTATTTTTTTTATTTACATGAGATCTAGCTTCTGTTGGTTTTAAAATTCAAATGTAATATCTGCGTACCGAATAAATAAAAAAAACAAAAAAAACTATAAATAAAATTAATATGCTATTCAAGCGTCCATTGATCAATATCCACTCGACGCGAAATTTGCAAATCAAAGAAATCGGGTAGCATCTGTTCCACGAAGTCGAATATAAAATGTCATTTTTTTTTTGCAAAGGAAAATGCGCTTACTTATGTATAAAGCGCGATTTGCAAAATCGTCTCGCACACGCAATTTATTTCGCATTTCGCGATTGGCTGTCTTTTGACACACAAAGAAATTTTACTTCCTGTCTGTCTCTTTCTCTCTCTCTCTCTTCAGAAAAAGAAGAAAGTTTGAAGATATGTTCATTCAAGTTACAAGTGTTAACGTAAAAGGAGCTAAATCCGGGGAATTGGTCCCTTGCGAATAACGAAACGTAGAAGTTCGAGTTGCCATTGTTGCTCATTACAGTTTCATTTGCGAATATCTTTCTCTCTCTCCCTCTCTCTCGTTAGAGAGAAAGGGAATATATTTTATCCACGGCAAAGAGAGATAAATATAATAAAGAAGAGAGAGAGAAAGAGAGAGATAGAGAGAATAACAATGAGCTTTCCTCTCTTTCGCTCGTCCACCGCGAGACACCCTTTATATTTGAGTACTTTTCTATTCCTCTCTTTCTATCTCTGTTTAAATTTTTTTTTCACTCTTTCTCTCTTTCTCTCTCATTCCCTCATCCGCGAGATTATGTGAGAAACAGAAACTGGCACATGTAAAAGCGCACGGACTTTTTCGTCAGAGGTGAATCGGAAATCCCAGCGGAAATCAGTTTCCGACGGTAAGTAGCCGGATATGTATCCGCCAAATTGCGTTTTCCCCGGGATAAATCTGAAACGTGTCCGATATATATATATATATGTATATATCTGCGATGTAACATCTGTACATACAATCGATAATGCGCCCAATTATCTATCCTATGGAACGTTCTAATTTGCATTATGGCATCATTTTATCGAGTTAATTAGTGCCGGTGCACAACGCTCGTCATCGTTCCGCATCAAAGTATCCATCCCTTTCTCTCGGCGGAACGTCCCGGCAAATGTTAAACCGCGCGCGCGTTTCTGTTTTCTCCGACGCTCTCCCGACCTTTTCGCGGAGAAAAGGTCTTATTTAAGTATACCAGAGATTTGCGATCTGTTTGTTTATATATATACATATATATATATATATACGCATATATATGTATATATATGCGCGCATGCATATTAATACTAACGCATGAGTTAATTAAACGAGATCTAAACTCGCTCGCCGCAATGCGTTACAGTTTAGATGGATAATTTGAAATTCTGTTTATAGCCGGGTGTACGTTGTTGTGGTCACACAGAAATCACAAACCCGAACGTTGCGCAGGCGGTTGCGCCGCCAAATAATTATATCATGCATTCAAAAGATGCAAGCCGGTCCCATTATCGAGCTCTCGTGTGCGTGAGATCGATCGATTTTGCCGAGCACGTAAGTAATAATGACGAGTGGCCTTCGCGCAAAAGCGCGGCGGCGGCGGCGGCGGCGTGTTCTCTCTCGCACGTGTTCTCCTCTTTGTGATTTTGCCGTAACCACACGCGCTTTCGCCTCTCTCGAACGGGCGATTTCGAGGGTATCGTTTTCTCTCTTGACGAGAAAATCAGTAGCGCTCACGCAAATGAGCCGCGTTACGTGCGCGTTCCTCTCTTCAAGGACTCTCCTCTCTTGTTTAAATAATAATCCCAATTAAATCTTAATGTATAATAATAAATTCATATATAAATTTACATCGAGATTTGAATTTTAACGAGTTCGCAATAAAATTAATCCCGCACAGGTGTGTGTAATGTCAGTCAATTAATTAATGTAATTGTATAGCGTTTTAGATTAAAGTATATAAATATATTGAGATGAGAATTTTTTTCGATCTTTCTCGTATATTTCTGAGTTAAATTCGTTTTTTATCTGATGTGTGTGTGTGTGTGTGTGTGCGTGCGTGCGCGAAGTAATATTGCAAAACCTAGCAATATCTCTTTCGATTGAAGCGGGAATTGTAAGCGTGCGAGTGGTCATTGAGATAAATTAGTATAATACGCTTCGGTTGCAGCAATAAAAGCCCCCGTCTCTTTTCTCGGGATCTCGCAAGACACATAGCGTCGCATTGCCCGCTTCTCTTTTCATCACTTTTCATCTTCTCTTTTCATCACTTTTATCTCATCTCGTCTCTTTTTATCTTGTATATATACTTAATACGTATACATCCGAATGGCAAAGTGAAAGAAAATAACTGCCATATCCTTTGAAGTTTGAAATCTTATATATAAAAAAACTTAACGTTTTCATATACATGTATACACACAACCAAATATTGATCGAAGTGGATTCTCGGAACGAGAAGTAAAAAATTTAACGCAAAACATTTTTTATCTAATTGTATATTGCAAAATACTTTTTATTTAATTATTATATTACAATTTGTGCGTTCTCTCTCCAATTATATTATGTATATCGCGAATTTTTCTTTCATTTTTTCTCTATAAGTGCACGCGCGTCGGGTAGAGTCGAAGGTTAAAGCTAAATAAATTCCGCATTCGTATTTCTCTTTTCTCAGTCGTTCAAGTACATCACGGAACGATAAATACTACGCGGGAAAGAGAGAGAAAGACAAATGAGTTCGAAGGGGAGAGAAACGCGCGGCGCCGTGAACGTCGCGACGCTCAGTCTACCGGCGTCGTCCGAACATGTATGATCCGTCAAGGTGTTACTACGTTCGCTATTCGAAATCGCTCACGATGACGACGACGACGACGACGACGACGACGGCGGCGGCGGCGACGACGGTCTCGCCGCGACCTTGCCCGCCAAAGATCGATCCGAGAACATGTCGCGGATTAGAGCAGAACCGGAGTTCTACAATCGTGGTTCTATCAGCGTAGTTTAAAAAAAAAGTGTATCATCAGTGTGGTTTGGAAAAAAAACTCTTCGAAAGAAAATTGTATAACACAAAGTTCTACACCGAGCGTTACCGCATGTTTGTTCGCGACGAAACATTTGATGAACATTTGATCGAGAAATATCCCCACCCCTCTCTTTCCTCTCTTTTTCCAGTAGAATATTAAAATCCTTAAATGATTACACAAGAACTGTATCCGAGCGTAGATACGAGATTGTATTTGCTCTACATCGTAATTAGTGCCGATGAAGTAGAATCGAAATCGCGAGTGCAAACATCGATGCTTCGTTCCCAAATAAAAATCAAGAATATAGCTTTCAAACAAACAACAAACGTTTTAATCTAAAAAAAAAAAAAAAAAAAAAAAAGGCGCGCCTAACAATGTAAAAATTGCAAAAAGCTTTCACCGTAAAATGATTCCCATCCGTTTGGTTTTGGAGTGGCGGTCATCGATTTGATGTTTTTTCACAAAGTGAAAAAATTTCGAATCAATCTTTTGTTAATGAACACTTATCGAAACTTCGCCGCGAAGTTAAATTAGTTGAGCGGAGAGGATTGCCGTCAGAAAGACGTCAGTATACTGTTTAACGGTACGCTCTTGGAATCGGTTGCTACAAGTTTGTTTAGATGCCGCAATATGTAACACATATTTGTGTGTGTGTGTGTTTCATGCATAAATTACACACACACACACAGACATGTGTACGATATTATGTCACATGACAAATGCACAAATATTTTTATTCGACATCTTTCGCGAAAAAACTGTTGAATGAAATATATGCACGGAGAATATTTGACGAGAAACAAACCAATTGTCAATTCGAAACGAAAATGACGTGTTAACGATTTTTGAATTTCGTTCGCGAAAGACAAATCCGTTGAGACAAAGTGACGAATATATTAAAGCGCACGAATGTGTGCGTCCGTCAAATGCGCATACATATATATATATACATATATAATCGTGAACTATATTCTCGTCTCGCCCTATTATTGCACTAGCAAGCGCATTAAAATTTCACCGCTCTTTACGGGTGTTGGTACGAAACATAGTATCCAACTGTCACTGTGAGTTAGATTCATTTTCGATGAATATTGCAACATGTAAATCCAGGCCTCTCTTGAACTTGCTCTACTGTCAACTTCTCCTCACCCTGACCCCGTCTTCGGTTTAATGCGCTGTTCGCGTTTCCATCCCGTCCCGGACAAAAGTTTAAATACGCTCGCAATATATACGGGCGGTTTATTATCGTTTGACGTCTCACACGAGAGACGAGATGTCTCTACGAAGTATTGTCGAGAGATTCGAAGCGCATTATTTTCCGAAAGAGGGTGGGAGAGAAAGAGAGAGAGAGAGAGAGAGAGAGAGAGAGAGAGAGAGAGAGAGAAGCGGGAGTTGAATTTGCATACACAAACCAGCGCTCGAAAGTTTCAGATTGGCCTGAGCAATCCGAACAGTTTCGAACGCTTCTAAGTCGAGATTGTTATTTCAAGACGAGCGAATAGTTATCACGCGATGATGATCTATCGAGAGAGAAAGATCGACGCGAAGATCGACAAATTCGAAGTCGAGGAAAAATCGATGGGACGTACAATGTGATATCGCGACCGACGATCTGATGGGATGGAAGTCAACGAGTCTACGTACGAGAGAATAAACCGTCCGATACTCAAGATCAATTTCTCCTCGAGTCTTGAGGATCTTCCCGAACGTCAGCACAGCTTCGTCGAGTCGAAAACCGTCGTTTTGACCGTTCTCAAAGGTTTAGTCATGATCGGTATTATCGTCACAGCTCTGATCGGCAACGCTCTCGTGATCGCCAGCGTCAGAAGGCACCGAAAACTGCGAGTGCCCACAAATCGGTACGTGGTATCTTTGGCGATGGCCGATCTTCTGGTTGCGGTGTGCGCGATGACGTTCAACGCTTCGGTCGAGCTTTCCGGGGGCAAATGGCTGCTCGGGAGCTTCATGTGCGACGTTTGGAACTCGATGGACGTGTACTTTAGCACCGCGAGCATTCTCCATCTCTGTTGCATCAGCGTCGATCGGTATTACGCGATCATCAAACCGCTCGAATATCCCGCAATCATGAGAACCGTGACCGTCACTGCCATGCTGAGCAGCGCCTGGATGCTGCCGGCTATGATAAGTTTCGTGCCAATTTTCATGGGCTGGTACACCACGCAGATGCATCTCAACTTTCGTCAGAAGAATCCGCAGGTAAATCTCGCGCGGAGCGAGTTTCGAGTTTGAAAAAACTTTGGAATTTTTAAACTCTGTATATTTCTTTTGCCGCGCTCTCTGTAAATTGTATTTTCGAAAACTTTATCAGCGCTAAAATCGCGCCAGTCAGTTTTTCAAAAACTTATAAGTATTATTTGAAGTTTTTCGCACGCGCGCGCGCGCACAATTCGCGTTTTCGCGTGCGATTAAGAGCTTTTGCGGTTTTTCTGCGATCTCAGATCTGCACGTTCGTGGTGAACCTGCCGTACGCGGTGGTCAGTTCCTGCGTGTCCTTCTGGATTCCCGGCGTCGTGATGATTGTCATGTACTACAAAATCTACAAAGAGGCGATCAGACAGAGAGCGGCTGTGAGTAGAGCGGGCAGCAGCACGGTGCTGAGCAAGATTCACGCGCGACGATCTTCTTCCGGGAGTTCCAGACATAATTCTAGAACATCGCACCAACTGTTGCTACAGCATCCGAGCGACGCCAGCAATTACGAAAGACCGCTCTCTTGTAGAACCTCGGTGGCCGAGCTCAACGTTGAGAACGGTGAGTGTGAACGGACCGGGTGTGTAAAAAGATAAGAGAGAAGCTAAAGATTAAAACTCAACCGGAATTAAATACGACAATAAATAAAACAAAATGAGGGAGAAAGAAATAACTAAATTAAGCGGTAAAATATGACGAAACAAATAAAAAAATTAAAAAAACAATAAAAAAATGAAATAAAATCTAAGATAAAAATAACAAGAAGATGAGAGAGATATATATAGTTTGAGAAAAAGTAACGAACGTGTTATTAACGATGTTTACGGAAGAAAGTGTCCCGTCGCTGATGTAATTAAATTGATCGCGAGGGGAAGCGCTCGCGTGACAAAAATGGTGACTCGGCGGACTTGTTTTCTTTTAATTTTTAATTCATAAAAAATTTCAAGCAATAAAATTTTTATCGCATCACCGCTTCTCTCTGTGTTTATCTTCATGTCTTTCTTTTGACCCCGCGCGGTGCGTTTTCCTCTCGCTCTCTCGCAACGCATTCACCAGATATTGAGCGAAGCGAGTCAGGGGGAGAGAGAGAACTGCCCCCGGACAGAAGGGTGTTCCCGTTGAAGCTGGCTGGCTGCGGCTGCAGTCGCGTTCACTGACCTGTCCGAGGCTGTGTTCGTCGGAGAAAAGTCTTTCCCGCAAATATTGCGTTACTCTCTCTCTCTCTCTATCTCTATCTCTCTCTTTCTTTCTCTGTCTCTCTTTCCTTCTTCCTCTTCCGGTTCGTAACATATTTTCACTGCGTGTTTAGAAATTTTTTTTACATTCGCGCACTTATAAATATGTAAATGCAATAAAAAAAAAATTTAAATTTGAAATATACGTGTAATCTTCGCGAAAGAAGTGTATACAAACAATGTTAAATAAAACCTCCCTCTCTTTTTAAATTATTTAAGAAAAGAACATTTCTGCTACCCTCTTCGAACAAGTCAGATAAATCTCGACCGAAGGTTCTTGCGATAAGTAAGCCTGAGAAAATGAGGTTTTGTTACTTCGACAGTGCGTAGGAGTTAAGTCGTTCTCCGATCTCTGTATAATAGAATTACGCGCGTTCTTCAAGGGTTGCCAATACTTTTTTCCCCGATCACCTAATGTGTCATAGCAACTTGCGAGACGACAAAAACAAAAGAAAGATCGACGACAGAAGCGATCCATTATTTACAACTACCACGTCGAAATATAATTTCGAGACTTTTAGCTTACATTCTTTATTTAATAAGAACGCAATTGTACAAAGACAATCAAGATAAAAATACTATAAGAGTAAAAAAAAAAAAAAAAAAACCATAATCCATCGAGGCAAGTCTTCATAAATAAAGAGAAAAAGCTTGATGAAAAAATTTTACTTACGTTCAAGAACGCCTCTCGAAATCGCACAATCAAATCAAATCGATATATAGAACGATGACCTGATTTGCGCAAACGTAGACCGTACTACCTCTCTAACCCTGTCTCTATACGTGTGTATGTGTGTGTGTGTGTGTGTACGTATATGTGGATGTGACCTAATTTTACCAAATTTTACGAAAGGCCTTTCACAGGTGCTCTTAGCGATGCCGATATTTAGCTGAGTACACATCAATTTTCACACGCGTATGTACGATGTGTATATGTATGTGTACATACACATCGTATCCCGTAAAGCAAAAGCATTGGTATAATGTTATTGCAACATTAAAGTTGTCGAAGGGAAGAGGAAAGCGTAGGCCGACGATTTCAAGGATGATGCAATTTAGCTACCATTGCACATTGACGTTTATTATTAAATCTCCCGCACGACATCACGAGGATTCGGGTATAAACGCACTTGAGAGGCTTTTTTTCACATCATTAAATTAAAATCTTACCGAATAAATCGCGTCTCAAAAATACTTCTCGTTATTTCAAAAAAAAAAAAAAAAAAAAAAAAAAAAAGTAAATTCTGAAAGTGGTTTTCGCGGAACTTTTTCGCGGGAAAAACTCTTCCGATACTTTTTTACTGTTTCACGTTTCTCTCTCATAAAATACTTACAATTAGTTCTTGCTGAAAGTATAAGTAGTCCATTAAAAAAGAATGAGAAAGAAAGAGAAGGAGAGAGAGAAGGAGAGAACATATAATACGCACAGCTTTGTTGAAACGTTCGACTGATATCAATATCGCGCGTGGCGCGTCTTTGTAACGGTAATTCGATACGCGACGTTCGTATCGGATCTCATCGTTTCGCAAATCACGTTCTCAATAATAAACGCGACCAGAAAGAAGAAAACAATTTGTTTAGCTGCGGACAATGGAATTATGTGCAAAAGCAAACCGCAAAATGAAATTACGTTCGGCACATTCACGTTTTCACGGATCTCTGATTAAATAACTTCGCGTGTTTGGCACTGTTTACCCTCGTCGCGCGCGACTCTGATGAGAAGATAATTTTTTTCCGAGAAAAGAATTAAGACTGTCACGATTCATATACGTATCTGTGTGTGTGCGTTTGTGTGTGTTCACGCACACTGTTATTATATATATTACGTAATATTCAACTACGCTCTAACGCGCATGTACATCCAACTCTTTTTTATTTCGTGGTTTAAAAGAGATAACAAAGAGAAATTAGGCCGTCAAAGTGGTTAAAGATATTTCCCTCGGGACATTTGGCGACCGACGTCGTGTATTAAAGAGACACAGAGGTTTAATCCGGAAGAATAGAATATGCATTGCAAAGTGCATATATATATAGACAGAATCGTGATTGTCTTCCATTCGCGAATTGTCTCACACGCCCACGTGCGCACATACACAGGGTGGATTTTTGTCGAGAAACGCGAACTCTCGCGATCGAGGAGGAGGGATTGTAAAATTCATTTCAAAGAGACAGTATTTATATTCATTCGCGCTCGAGTCACATTTGCATCAAAGGTCATTTTTTTTTTTTATCGCCTCTGACGAACATTTGTCGCTTGACAAATTTTTTTTCGAAAGACTCCTCCCCGTGCGCATCCCGGGCGACGTTTTTTTTTTTTTTATACATATACATGTATATCTTAATAGACGAGCGCATTGATTGCACGAAAGCGCTGAGCATCGACCAACCAACCTAAATCTGCCTTACTGCTCCCGAGCACGCAAACCCTTCAGCTTTCTGTCCGGAGAGAGACGGACATCCTTCCATCCATATTATCTAAACAACAACTACCCTTCGATGAGACCGCACTCTAACTGCGAAGCTTGCTCCGCTCTCTCCGCGGTTTTCATTCTGCACGTACACATACATATATAAATGCATTTGCTAATATAGAACTTTAGAAAACTTTATATATATGTGAACAACGCGGGGGAGTTGTTTCTGATTTAAAGTTGTATGTGTTTGACGTTACGTTATTGAGCGACATATATGTATATATGTGTATATATATACACAAGTTGTTTCGAAATTCGCGCGTGCAATAAAATTTTTCGTCGCGCAATATATACTTCCAACACTTTCGCATTGTTTACGCGACTTGCCAACTGAATATTTAGTCCGAGCAAGTTTTTTTTTTTTTGCCAGAGCATCAAAGTTATTATATACTCTATGAAAGTTATTATCCAATCTCTTGCGGAAAGAGCGTTTTTTTCATCGTCGGGATAAAATTTCCCGCGGGCGCCGCTACCTCCGACAAGATTAATCCCGGCGAATGTGTGCTAATAGCTCATGAAAAAAAAAAAAAAAACAAAAATTCAAAAAAAAACTTTACTTTCATGTATACACATTGATGCCCGAGCTCTCGTGGTGCGATTATTACAGTTGCGCGCTTACGATAACAACGTTGGCCCGATGGCACGTTCGGGCCGGGGGTAATTATACCTGAAATTGGGTGGACGGGATTTTAATCGCTGAGAAAACTGTAGGTAGGAGGAGAGAGCGAGAGGGAGGGGGGAGAGAGGGATAAAAGAAGTGCACCGGAGAACAAGAGAATAGAATTTCTCGTTAATCACGTTGTGAAAAAAAAAAAAAAAAAAAAAACTCGTAGTTCGAAATTTCGACGGGGCGAATTTTTATCCCCCAAAATCGCGATCGAACGCTCGATACGCTCGGCGTATAATGCGACATAGAAATTGACGATCCGGTCGATTAAATCCCGTTTAATTTTGAGTAATCAATATCCCATTCGACATTGTCAAATTGCAGAATATGTAGAATCGTTACTGACGACGCGCGATTAATTAAGGGTTGAAAACTGCGTTTCGTCCGGCCAATCTACATTATTAAATGAACGTGGAATTGGTCATTACGCTTCATAGAAGAACCGTTGTCATTATTAGAATTGTTGTTGTTGTTATTGTTATTATTATTATTATTATTATTATTATTATTATTATTAATATGTATATATTATAGTAATACATCTATTTTGCTAAATTTATTTTAAATCCGTGCGCGTGACGAGCGCGAAGAAGTATATACACTTGTAACACTGGCGTATTACTCAACGTTGCGAAATAATTTGGCTATTTTTGTGTTACAGGCACCTCGATACGACAGCAGACGAAAAGTTGGCGAGCCGAGCACAAAGCCGCGAGAACACTCGGTATAATCATGGGGGCTTTTCTTCTGTGTTGGTTGCCATTCTTCCTCTGGTGAGCATTAATTATTGTACAGGAAGCTGTGTAACAATTAATTCGTTAAATTTCAACAACAATCGTTTTCCGCGTACGACGTCGCGAAACACGACTTTTGTGTCGGAAAAAAAAAAAACAAAAAAAAAAAGAGATTTATGACAGCTTCTTTCACGAACTTCCCGAAACGAACGGGAACAATTGTTTTTCTTATTGTTTTCTTTTCAGGTATCTGACGACGTCGTTATGCGAGGCGTGTTATTGTCCGGATACCGTGGTGTCCGTGCTGTTTTGGATAGGTTACTTTAACAGCGCTCTGAATCCGCTTATTTACGCGTACTTCAATCGCGACTTTCGCGACGCTTTTAAGGACACGCTGAAGAGCGCTCTGCCCTGTTGCCCCGCTTGCTGGAAAACACCCTCGCAATTTGTGTAGCGCAACAAAATCTCGAAACGAATTCCGCCCCCATCGAAAAGCGAGTGCACTTTATGTCTCCGACAAAGCCGACGATTTAAAAAACAAATTGGGTGAAATGAAATTTTGGTCAACAGAAAGAAATGGAAGAGATAGAGGAACTCTTTGCGAATCGGAAAATTTACGGCAATGTCTGTTAGCGAGAGAATTGTCGAGAGTGCAGTTCTGTAAATTTGTTTCTCTATTAGAGAAACCAACAAAAATGTTAATTATTCGTATAAATCTGTTTTATTTAAAAAAAAAAAAAAAAAAACAAGCTAACGCGAAGAAGAAACGATATCACGCGGAATGAATGTTGAAACACAAAACCCAGACACGGGAGACACGAAAAGAAGGTTCGTTAATTCGCGTTTACCTTGATGAAATATGTCGAGACGCCCGGCTGACGCTAATTAGACGTAATTAGTAGTGCGCCGGCATAAAATGAGGCTGTACGTATGAAATTGTCGCGCGCTTATTCAACGCGCGACAAAATCGCGTGCAAAATATGCTAATCACGAAACAATAATTAGCCGGTAGTGGATCAACCGATGATCAACACGAACGCGTTATCTTCCGCGCGTGCCCCAAATTGTATTATATAGCAATAACTAAGTGGAGAGCATATATATTGTAAATATTAAAAAAAAAAAAGAAAAAAACAAATCTAACAGAGAAAGCTGTTCGTTGCTTTTGTAAATATTATCGAACATAATGTGTATCATATTACATCAAATGTGGTCGCGTCAAATTTTGCGTGTAGCTTATAGTCGTGTATATAGTAGATAAAAAAATTAAAAAAAAAAAAAAATTTGATCTGACAGTGCATTCGGAAGTCGTCGTTGAAATACGCAGGATGTTAATGAAGGGTTGAAACGTTGAGGATGAAATTTTGCGAGCTGCGGATTAAAAATCTCCGACACAGCGCGAGCAAGCACCGATACGAGTTGTGTGCAAGATTCGCCCGTCGCGTTATTCGTCATATTTTTTTACTTTTTATACGTATGTGATCTTTGATAATTATTCGTCGGGAGGCAAAAGAGTGTGTGGGAGTTTTCGGCTCGATTTGGTCCCCCCCAAAAAAATACGCTATTGCGACACGCTGTGCTTCAACATTCGTGTTAACATTCTGCGTATTTGTGTTTCTTTTAAGAGAGAGAAAAAGAAAGAGAAAAAGAGAGAGAGAGAGTGAGAGAGACTATGCTACGCGTTATACAGTTATGCAGACACCGTCCGAGTAAAAAGATATTACATTAATTATATAGAGTAATTCCCTCTGGCGGGTGAAACTTTTTCAATCCAATCCCTGTAATTATTCAAAAAAGAGCAATTTTCTCTTTTTTTATTTTTACGCTCTCTAATAAAAGTTAATAAAAACGAGAGTTAAGTAATTTTAATTTACAGCAGTTGCTTTGTGAGTTTTCCTTTGTCGAAAAACTCTTTTTTTTGTTTAAAATTTTTTTTATGTTTAATCTTATTTGTGTGTGTCAAAATCTGACAAAATTGGAGAAAGAGATAGCGAAGATTCTATCTTGTGACGAGCGCGTGACACTTCTGCGCAGATCGTTTCCTTTTTGTTTTCCAGTGTGAGAGAAGAAAATTCTCACGTAAATAATCTATATACAGATCTCAAAACTCTTGCGCGCGAAAAGACACTTTTGAAACAAATATCACGCGAGAAACAAACTTTTTTTGAGAAAAATTCCTTTTTCGCGTGTCGCATACGCGCAGATGGTATCTTACTTTTTTTTTTTTTTTCCACAGGTTTATAATTGTTTCAGATATATTTTTGTCTAAGCTCCGGAAACAATTTGAGCCTTGCATGATTATTATAGCTATTGCTATTGTAACGCTGAATATATTCCTGTTTTCAGGATATAATACGCGCGCACAAATAGATCGGAGCGAGTAATAATGTATTGGTACTTGGATTAAATTACGCGTACCGCGTATCGTTGTTCACGGTTATTTCTATTCCGCATTAAACGAAACAAAAACAAAAAAAAAAATTCAAGGTGGAGAAGCCATTTCCATATGTGCACTTTCATTTAGAATCACTGGCTGTAAAGAGACCGAAAGCTTTTGAGTTATTTATATTTGCGTGTCGTTTTCTCTCTTATACAAATATAATACAATAGACATAATACAATAGAAAACGCAACGTAGACAAATTAACTTTTCCATATAACAGAAAAAAAGAGAATGTTTATTCATTTGTTTGAATACTTCGTATTTTTTATATATATTATACTTCGAATTGTCCTTCGAACAAGCTGCCGTTAATTTTACCTCACTAAATAAAGTATCTGATTTCTTTTTTTCGAATTATTTCGGTTTCAAGAGTTAATGAGAGATCTATGTTACTACGCACTATTGAGTCTTGACGTTCCCAATTGTTGTTGCGCACACAACAACAAGTTCTTTTCCGATTTTCGAAATAATCGATATTCCAAGGTTTTTTTACTACGCGCACACACCGCGAGATGAATTGTCGCATCGAGTTTTCATATAACGGGCTTCCGTTCCTAAGTGAGTAACGTATATAGATATATATATATAGGTTGTAGATTTCAAAGCTGATCGTAATGTGTAAAAAAAAAAAAAAAACACTAAAAGAAAAAAACAACAACAGACACACATATTTAAAGACCCATTCTCACAAAAAGTAAGAATGTTGAATCTGACAATCCTGAGAAATAACGCGAAGAAAAACTTTATCGTGTAAAGAAACAAGTGATTTATCTTAAGAGCGCCGTGCTGTAAATAAAAGATCTAAACAAAGCGTAGTGTGTTTAGAAGAGCGACTCTAGACGATCTGCTGCAGCGTGGTAATATATTAGGGCAATAGACATTTAAAGTGTCTAGTGACAAATCAGATACACGCGCATTAATTAGAACTTAAGTACCATTGAAAGAATTGCGAGTGAAAGGACCGAGAATGAGAGAAAGAGAGAGAGAAAGAGAGAAAGAAATTTGTGAATATTTATGTAAATTTTAACGCACGAATTGAGAAATGTAAAGAAAAAGAAAGAAATAGGTACGGCTATAAGTAAATCGATACAAGACAAAATTGACTCTGCGTAATACACCCATCTACTTTAAGTACTCTCCCGGTAATTACGATTAATCACTTACTGTAACTATTGTTAGCATTTGCTAGAGAGGATTAATTAGTACGTACGTAAATAATTTAATTCGGAAAGTTCTTCTTGTCTTCGTTCATCGTGCTGCTTCGCGAGTCAATTTTGTCATCTTACGACAACAGTCGACAAAACAAATAAATGTGGAAAATAAAGAATGTTATAATTTAACGAAAAACAAAAAAACACAAATGACAGTCTTGTTAATTAATTACATCTTTCTCCAATTTACCCTCTGTCACACATTCCCTTCTTATATCAATATTTTATTTCCCCAAGTTTTAGGAAGTAGATTAATGGCATCATTACGTTAATCGGAGCTGTTTGCAGGTAAAAAATCGATAGTGTAAAAGAGCATGATTGATCGACGATATAACAGTTATTCTACTTTGTTCTTCGATCTGTATTTCTTCTTTTTTCTTCTTACTAACTCTTTCTCAAACACACACGCATGCATATATGTATATATATGTACTATATTAAAAAGTAAAATTACTTAATATTAAATAAATTCTTTTATATTACATTAGTACAATTTATATATTATATTAGGTACAATTTATTCCTTTAGTAATAAGAAACTCCAATTTTTTTTTATTTTTCTTAGTGCGTTTTTACTAAAATAATATTATAGTGAAACCAAAAACTGGCATAAAGCAATTCAATATTTATTGTAATTTTATCTCGATCATTTTTCTTATAATAGTATTTTTTATTTATAATATTCATCATCAATATAATCGTCGTAATAATTACTATTATTATAATAATAAGTCGTTATTTCGAATTATTGTACATCGACACACACATTGTATATATGTATATATACTATACACACATATACATATATGTTTCACATATAATATCTAAGATAAATTTTATTTTATTTATAGTTATTTATATTTTTTTTATATATATTTATAAATTTCTCTATCTGTCTCCGCTCTTCTTTTAATTCGAGAGTAGACTCTTAAAACTCTATATTGTATATCACTTGCCAATAGTAAAATTCTGGCAACATCAGACAAAACTTCACTTTCGAAAGGAAAACATCTCTTCTTCCCCCTCCTCCCCTTTCTTGCGTGTCAAACGTTATCTAGTTCTTTTTTTTATATCTTTCTTATTTTATCGTAAAGACACTCCTCTGTTCCTTCTGCTTTAATATAGAAGTTAATACTATCGCATGTTTGTGACAAAAAAAAAGAATTGAATAAATTGAAATTTATCGACATATCAATATTCCATTTCAATAATAACCAAATATTTGCAAAAGTGAGAAATTTAGCTTTTGTCGCTTTCATCGATATTGAATTTCATTCGACCTTGGAAATCAGGAAAACCGATATAAATTTCACAACAAACCTTACAACGAAAATCACAATCGAAGTTTTTCGTTGCAAGTTTCAATTTAGTTTCAATGAAAAATAAACCCGTGCGCGCGATTTGAATAAGAAATTTTTCGGTTGTCACAAGTTTGCTCAACGACATTTTCGTTTTTTGTTTTTTTTTTTTTTCTAAAAAAATTATATTCTTTTTTATTATATATGTATACTGGGAAAACTACAGAATGCGATTATACAGAACTGGCGTGACTGAATATAAAGGAAGTGATAATTTTGACGTGAAACATACATCGAAAATAACTAAAACACACTCTTTTTTCATAACGCGCGCGTATTGGAACATTTACACACTCTCCCTTTAATATATTTCAATCCACATGTATATCGTCATTTTTTATTTTCAGTTTTTACAAATTTCATTCAAAATTCTCGCTTTTGTTCTCACGCGCGTTTTAAATAAGAAATCAAAACCCCAACAAAAAAATGATACCTTGATTTCCGATTGTAATTGTAATTTTAAATTAACTCCGAGTCGTTTCGCATGCTCTTACCCCCGCGTAACTTTCGATCGCACGATGAGAGATAAAGAAGAACCGCGACGCGACGCCACATGCAAAAGACTAGACGTTCATAATGTGTTAATCCGACATTGGTAAGAAACGACAAATTATCATCGTTGTCAAAGAAACGAAGGAGCGCGCGTCCGAAGAAAACGTATCCAGCAATCTTTTGTACTTTTTTGATTAAACGTTTGTTGCAATTGCTCATTCACTAGAATGCGTCGTCGAAATGTATGTTGTGTGTGTGTGTGTGTTGTGTTTGTACGTGTGCATCTGATGTTTGATAACAAAAAAATTCTAACACTTAAACATACATACTAATTGAACGCTCATTTCTTTTTTTTTTTTAATTTCTTTTCTCATCGCTTCTTTATAAAAGTTTGCAATGTTATTTCTATTACTTAACGCAAATGTGTATGTGTGCGTGTGTGTATAAACTACATTTATGCGAAAAGTTCAATACATTATCATTGTTGTTTTTATTATTAATATTATTATATGTATCATTAATATCGCTATTAAATAATAACGTATTAAATTTTCCGCAAGCAAAAAAAAACCATATTTTTTTTTCCTCATGAAGCGCGATGTTTCGTGTTCACTATGTATAGATATTTTTTTTTTGTTTTTCACTTAACGTATCCTCAAAGATAAACGCTCTAAATCTGCGAAATATATATTCAATTATTAAAAAGACAAATCGTTGTTCGTTTGTGTTTGTGGCTGCTGAATTTTTTAACGCGCAGCGACAAGGTGTACCAAATGGAACTACTTCGGAACGATTGTACACGGAATTTGACTCTTCTGTATTATCATTATTACTATTCTTATTATTATTTTACATATCAAGTATAGGAATTATATACAGGGTGTGCCGGATCGAATTTCAACTACTGACATTTGTTTTTTCTTTTTTTTTTTACTAATAAAATGTAGATCTACTAATAAACTTGAAAAAAAAAGAAGATATATTTAATGTTTGAACATTAATGTTAATTTCAGTTTTTCTGATTGCTTTGTTATACTACAGTAATCAATAAAGATATGTAATTTAAGTATGTAATATTAAATTAATATCTTTATATATACATTTATATATAGAATGTGTATTTAAAGTATACATTTATGTAAATATATATATATATACATATTAAAGTAATAACAATTATATTCGTGATCAAATATTTTATATTTGAGAAAAACTTTAAAATTCAAACAAAGATAAACGTGTCTACTGTACAAAAATGTTATTTTTATCACTTAAAGATTCAAGTATCTATTTGTTAATAATTGTTAATGTTAAAAAATTGTTAATAATATTGACTATTTACTTTTTAATTTTACTAAAAAAATTACCTAAATTGTTCTATCTTTAATAAGCCAAAAAAGTCTTTGCTAAGCAACACCCTGCATTATTTTGTTCATCGTAAAACATGATAAATATTAGCAAATAAGAAAGAGTTTAACTGTTTAAACATTTTCACAAATTCCGCGAGATAAATATTTAAATTCTTTTTTTTTTCCTCTCACCTACAGACTACATCTTTACAAACTGTGTATGTGAAAAAATGTTTTTTATTCGATAGCCCTTCTCCCCTAACGATTAAATTTCTATTATGTAAAACGAATCGACATAATATATAACAAATGACAATGTTCTCTAGTTAATTCACTGTCATTGGTAATGAATTATACTTGTACATAATGTGTATTGGTTTAAACACTTCCATATTTATATATGTAACATATTTATAACACGCAGGTTCGATCATTTGTACAAATTGAAGTTTTATAGTTATATAAGTTATATTATATATATATATATATATATATTTATAATTTGTTTTTTTTTTTTGTATAAATTAAAGCCATATATCTTTCCTATCGATGTTTTTTTGTGGTAAAATAATTGTTACATCTTTTCAACTTTTTTGTAAGTATCTATATTTTTTTAAAAGTAGTAGTTAATTATTTAATTAACAATTTGTTTGGATAAAAATAATCTCTTCAACAAAGAAGTTTATCTTTTTTTTCTTTTATCACCACTAAGCAACCGTTGAAAACAATTTCTATAACAAATATACAATAAATGAAATATATTATATTTTCAATTCTTTTATTTTTTCAATTGTTTTTTTTTCATTTCTAATCAGTTAATCATTTAATTTTCTACCCCAATGTTATTAGTAACACAAAATTCTTGCGAGTTTTCGAACAAGAGTTATTTGAGGATTGGTTACAAACCTGATGCGTCTATTGTACAAATTCGATTCAAACTTCGCAAGTTTTTTTTTACATTCGGTGATGCACACTGCGATGCATTACAGTAGACTATTGATATACGAGTCGAAGAGAGTGAGAGACTCTTCTGAGACTTTTTATAAACATAAATCCTTAGATATAAACTAAAAGAGATTACAATATTGCGAGCTACGCAATTTGAGTGACTGCTCATGCGTTATAATGTGGAAAAAGACGAACAGAGTTAGTAAACATAATTGTAAAGGGAAAAAAACTTACCTATATCTACGATACTTACATCGAGTCTACTGTAACGCAGTATTCAGTGACAGTCTTCGACTTTTTTTTTTCTTTTTAACGATGCATTGTCAGTGAGAGAATATATGTTATATACGTATATGTATGGACGTAGTAAATTTGTTTTCTTTGTATCCGGTTATACTCAAGAGAAACGTTAAGTAAAATTCACGTATGTATGTATTGTAGTTTTCACCTCGTAATTGTAGCCTTTTTAATAAATTTTCGATCAGAACTCAACTTTCGAGAACAGAAAGAGAAAAAGAGAGAGAGAGAGTGAGAGAGACGCTTCTCATGTCAGTCACAACACTTTACTCTTGCAATTATTACTATACTATTCGTCTTCGGTATCGCCGTCGCTGCTGTAATCCTGCAGTGTGGGTGGTCTCGAAAAGGGCGCTTCGTTAGTTTGACTGCAACATCACAAAACAAAAAATTTGAAAGGTCAGACTGATTATAAAAGTTTTGATAAAATTGCGACAATTTTATTACTCATTTTCATATATCACAACTTTTAAGATATACATTAGCAATGTTGGAAGAAAAATTCATAGTAAAATTTGAAAAATAACTCACGCTAATCTACGATAGTGGTTCAACCATTCCTCCAGCATTTGCGCGACAAGCAGCGGTCTTTTGTGAAGCTTTTGTTGCGCTACGAGAATCCCACTCTCGGTCCTGCAAACGTCCAGCCACTCCTTGTAGATGGACTCCTCGCGGCCGATCTCTTCCGCCGTGAGAAAATGTATCGGCAGAAGCTTGTGCTCGCGATCCATCAGCGGCATGAAGGTCGTCTGCATCTGAATCTGTAACTGCTCGAGCGGGCTGTTGTTACCGCTCACACCGTGAGGCGCGATAGGCGGTATTCTGGACGACGCGTACGGCTCGATTGGCACTAGCGCCGTGAAGTGGCCGCGAGTGTAACCTAACGCGATCGGCGAACGGATGCAGAACGAAGGCTCCCATAAGAGCGGAAGATAAACACCCTCGAATCTCGCATAGCCTACAAAAAATGGCGGAATGTAGCGATTTTTATAATCCTAAAATAGAATCTTCTCGTTATATTAAAAAAAAAAAAAAAAACTTTTGATGTTAGATTTACCTATATCTTCACCGCGGAAACTTTTGACGTATTTAACTCCATAAACGATAATAGGTCGTCTTAAGATATGAGCGAGAGCAAAAACATGCAATTGTTCTAAGGCGCTGCCGGGCTGAGCTGCCGTCGCTAACAAACTCTCCCAGTCTTCTTGCCATTGCGTTTCTTCTAGAGTGAAATCTAACATCCTAGCCGCTTGCGAGGCTTCGTACTCTCTCCAACGAGGATAAAAGCTGTGAAACATACATATATATCTAATACAAGTGTATATTTACACATAAATATATTTTTTTGTCAGCCTTGATGAAAATGCGCTCACAATTGTCCCGCTTGCTGCAGAGTATCAGCGAGCGCCCTTCTTAGAGCGTTGTCTCTGTCGAAGACACCCCAAGTGGCCTGCATGGCGGAATCTAAGAGACAATCTCCCGCCGATCGGTTCCAGAGCGCGTGCAAACGACTGCCTAATCGTTCAGTAATTTCTAAAGACCAATTTAGAGCAGGCGGTTCCCCACCACCGCCTTCCAATTGCTGTTGAGCTTCCTTGTCTAACAATTCTTCCAGCATCTGTTTTTGCACAATACTAGGTAGATCCTCAACCTTCAAAATATATTCGACAATTTTACACACACACACACACACGCACACGTATAATTTGTAGATATCATTAAGTTTGAAACATCAAAAAAATAATAAGAACTTCTCGAGTTTTCTTACACAGACAAAATTCCCTGAGAATTTGTCATTTTTCCCAATATGGACATTCTAATTATTTGGATCTTAAATTGTAATGTACAATATATATGTTCAAATAACCTCAGCTGGCAGCGCGAAAGTAGTCATTTCGGTGACAAAATAACAAGGAAATGAGCCTTTGCGTAAGCGTATGCTATTGGTGACATGTCGGCGAATTTGAGCCGCGAGATCAGGCGCGACGTAACTCGGAACCCTCTTCACTCCCGAGCCCGAACCTTCGATTTGCGACAGCAATGTTGCCAAAATATCTTCCCTTTGAAACCTATCGAAAATCCAATCTTTTAGTATACAAAGAATCTTATATTTAGCTCTCCGCATTACCGATATTCAATTTCTCTACCTAATAGCCAGATGCACCAAAGTGTGTCCGACATCAAACGCGCTGCTTCTATTGAGAAGCAAAACCTCAGAATGCGTCAATTGACGGGCGGGATTGCCACCGCTTGCCAGATAAGCTTCAACAGGTGTGTTATCACCCTCGACGATACCGAGACAAGCGTTTAGCCAACACCAGTCGGTGTGGCGTCTCAGCTGTTTCAATCGACGCTCATAATCACAGTTATTCGGGGATTGAGGAGTTGATAAACTGTCGTTCCGGCTATCGGTATATCTATGTGAATTCCTGCAAAATTTCACAGATACGTGTTATTCTCAATATAAGATGTGTTTGGTTTGTCATAATCACTTAAAAATAGATTTACAAAATATATATTTACCTTCTTCCTATCGCTAAATTATCTTCCCTCTGTGTCTGATGAATATAAGGCGAAGTTTGATGCGGCGGTGACGGCATGCTTCTTTGACCGTGTTCTCTCTCGGGACTCGGTAAAATTATTCCCACATTTCCTTGCGTTCCTCTGTCTCTTCTATCTTTTTCCTTGAAATGGCCACACATGACACATTTGGTTGCTTTGGGCCAGTTCTCGTAAGTACATACGTGGCAGGACCATTTTTCTGGATGTATATTGTATTGTAATCTTTCGGGGTGAAGATTAATCGGCGAGGGGTTTAGTTGAGAATTTGAGCCCAAGTTCGGCGGACCGTCAGCCAGTCGCAGTGGCGCTAAATGTTCGTGCAAATTTGATGCCAGAGAGTTGACCAACTGATTACCCAACGGTTTCCGATTGCTACACTGAACGCAGCGCACTGTGTTTTGATAATTGAGATACGTACACATGTTGCAAGCCCATTTTCCTCCTGAAGGAAGATTCTGACTATAATTTTGGGAGATAAAATTATCTTGTGTGGAACTTATTTGCGGCACAGGACCAGAAGCCACATTGGACGAGCCTCTTTGAGGACTGGGATCACGAAGACGATAGATATCCTCGCCTAAAAGAGGTTTGGCGCCTCTACACATGGTGCACTTTAAGGAGGAGGGCCAATTCTCATAAGTGCAGTACTCGCAAGTCCATTTTTGCTCCGTTTCTTCAAGTCTACTGCTCATCTTCACTGAATGAAGATTAATGAGTGATTGGTTTTTGGTTCCTTTGCTGCAGAGAATGCAGTATTTGTTTTTTATAAGGCTGATGGTGTCTGGTTGAAAAGTGGCGCCAAAATATACACCGAGCATTAAATATTGTGATTATATTGTGAATCAAATTTTCTACACCTTGTCATGCATGGTCTGCTGGGAGATATGTGTGTGTGAAGTCAATTTGTGCTACATGATCAGCATTGTGTCTGATTGTAGTGAAGCAAAGTCACTAGAGATATGTCAATGTAAACATCTGTGAGGGAATCTGAAAAAAAAAAACAGCATATTTAGAAAAATCTATACACAAATTCAACACGAAGATAACTACATGTTCTTAAATATTTTTAAGAATATTTTTTTTTAATATAAGAAATATAGAATATTTTCAAATGTAAGCTTTTCTCCGTAAAGTTTAGGTTTAAAGACACACTTTTTCAGCACAAACATCAGCAAAAAATTTGTTTACTTAATCTCGCATCACCTAAACGCATTATTTAAACATCCGAAACCGAACTCAGTCAATTCTTTACATATTGCTAATCACAAAACACGCGACACCGCGTGACTCGACGGTGTTTGAGGTTCCGTGTCGACGCGCGTTCTCGTTCGAAATCTAACCTACCTACCTACCTGCTCCGGGCGCAAAATTTTCGCGACAAAAAAAATTCGACGAGCACGAGAAATCGCGAGTCTCGAAATCGAAGTCGCGCGTGTCCTTGGGGGACAGTCGAAGGAAACGTCAAAAAGAACGCAGCAAAATACTCCGAGCAAATATACCGTGAATAAATAATCCATCGGTCATTTCGGATTTACCTCGTCTGCTGGCAACAGAATCGTTGGAGGACCGCTGCTCTCTCTCTCTCCTCGAGAATCTCTCCCCGATTCCTCCGTTTGTCAAAAGTAACTATCACACTCGACTATCCTCCATAAGAAATCCTTGAAACTGACGATCCGGTCGACACGAGTGTTACTCATGCAGCAACGAGCACAAAGCTTTCAGACGCACCATTTGCGTTTGATGCAAATAGGTTAGCTCGCTCGCACGCACACACACACACACACGCACGCACACACATATGCGCCAAGCCACACGAATTTCGTACGCGAGACACAATTCGCGTACGGCAGCGGATTACTCCAAAAATCGCGCGGCACTTTCCTCTCCCACGAGATTGCTCAATGACGATGACCGTGACGGAGCATCGACGAACCGAGGAAGAGAGACGACGACGATGTTCTTCTCCGAAAATTAAAGGCACGAGAGAAACGCGAAGAAGTTGTCACCGATATGCGCGCGAAGATAATATCGCGCCGTTTTACACCGTGTTCTTATTCGACTCGTCGCGATGTTTGAAAACTCCGTTGCACGAAAGACGGGGGGGAACGACGACGACGACGACGGCGACGGCGACGGCGACGGCGACGACGGCGACGGCGACGGCGACGACGACGACAACGATCTCGCTTGTTACCTATGAAAGTAGGTTTTGACAGTCATCCGCAAACAGACGGACACCCAGTACTGCCAACCGCTCGGACTTGTTTTTACCGTTAGAAGATTATCAGCGTGCGAGAACGATTAATTTTATCCACATCCGTCGCGCGCCTAGGATCTGGAACGTAATGAACTTTGAATAATTTTTTTTTTTTTTTGCGTTCTTTTTCCACTCTCCACTCTCTGTAGAATTTTACGTCGAATCATCGACGGATTAACCTTTAAACTCGGTTTAAGCCGCTCGAAGCGCGCATGACGACTCTTTTTAAGTAATATTTAATTCTCTCCTTCCCTAGATTTCACGCGTTTTCATGATGACTCAATGCGTATAAATTCTCCTCGCGAATGTAAAATCCGAGCAATTTAAATGGCAAGAGATTTCAAGGTTTCGGTAAAACGACTTCGAACTGCGCACAATTTCGCGATTCTCGTCGTTGGGGAGAAGCACAAGGTAAAATCGCAGGGAAAAAAAATAAAAAAAAATAACAAGATTCGGATGTTCGATCAACCTTGATTAATTTAACCAATCAGATCGGACTGGATCGTTTGTACGATTGGTCGTTTCCGCGAAGTAATCAATTCGATTGAATTAGTCAAGAGTTGACCGAACTCTCATCCGTAACCCATCGTTTTTTTTTTTTATATTTGCACAGGTGTCACGAGGTGTTACCCCACTGTTGCCACCTGAGTTTTTGTTACATCACTGGAGATCGACCTAACCTCCAAATGTGTTATTTGCCTTTCCCGCGCTCGTATCCGCGTATTTCTCAAGGTTCTTGTTTTTGACGTGTGTGAGAGACAGAGAGAATGACGTTCGCAATGACAATCTGAAAAGTCGCTCTTAACATTCTCGACGTTTCACAACGAGAGAGACGTTTCGTTGTTGAAAACTCCGTCGTCGCACACGTCGTTGCTACTTTTGCCCGTTTCTTTAGTCGCACAATTTTTCAAAAACAAACGCTCACTAAACTAAACTCGCACGCCTCGCAGCTTTCAAGCTTCTTTCTGATGATTGTGCTTACTTTAATGAGATTAATTTTTCATCAAACAATTTATCACCTCTCCGAAAGGTAGCCGAGAGAGACTTCGTGGGAGACTCTCTCGCGCGCGAACAACAACAGTTTGTATAAAACTATATTTTTTTTTTTTTTTTTTTGTTTATAAATATCTCGGACCCGCGCTGCCAAATGCCTGGTCTAAACATTTATCCTTGACATTTCGTCACCGAGATCGCGAGATTTGTTTCCTACAAAAGGTATTGCGAAAGTCGAAACCAATTTTCTTCGCGCGTCGTTTGCGAGATACAGAGTTTGAATCTCGCTTTTTCGTCGCCGTTAATTCTTTTCAAGGTATTAAAAAAAAAAAAAAAAGATTTAGCGCGCAAAGACAAGGGAAAATAAAACAAGAAAATTCTATATTTAATTGTAGAAAATTTGCAATTGCACACGACGTGAGGATGAACGGATTAACAATTCGGGTGCTGTACGGAAGTGAGACCGGAACCGCTCAGGACGTCGCCGAGCAGATTTGGAAAAGCGCTAAAAGGTGTTGTTGCTTATCCTTTCTGGAAATCTTTTTTTTTTCTTCAGCAATCTGTTGCCTCGTAATAAATCTTTGCAACAAATATGAATATAAGTAAAGCCTAAATTTAAAATTGGAGAAAAACTACAAAAAAATTAAAACTTATCAAAACCCCTACAACTTTTGCAGAAAAAAATTGCTAAGCACCGTCTCGTCTCTGGATGATTACGACATTCAGAATCTGTTTACCGAACGATTGATTGTCTTTGTTGTGGCGACTACCGGACAAGGAGATCCTCCGGCTAACATGAAACAATTTTGGCGACATTTACTGCGCAAGAATCTTCCCTCGAATATGCTCCGAAATTTGCGATACGGCGTGCTTGGTCTGGGCGATAGTTCCTACTCGAAATTCAACTTTGCCGCGAAAAAATTGAACAAACGCCTGTTACAATTAGGCGGCGAGGAATTGTTGCCCATCGGGCTTGCCGACGATCAACACAACTTGGGAATCGACGCCGTCGTTGATCCGTGGGTCAGAAAATTGTGGGAAGAAATTGCGAGCGTTTTCCACATTTCTGTGGAAGATAAAATCGACGAAGAAAATTCGACGATCGAGAGATACGATGTTACGATAATAAAACCGGATCAGTCGAAAAACATTGAACGATCAATAAACAGTCGATTTCAATCGAATGCGAGTAACATCTACGCGCAAGAGATGAATGTAAACAGCGCGGTTGGAATAGGAACGGTAGTGGAAAATGTACGAACCACTTCGGACGATCATTTTCAAGATGTCAGATTGATAAAGATCGAAGCGAACGATATTAAATACGATCCCGGAGACGTTATCTACGTCAGACCGAAGAACTCCGCGGACCAAGTCGAACGTTTCTTCGATATACTTCACGAGCACAACATAAAATTGTTTCCCGACACGATGGTACAAGTGTCGGAGAAGGAAATAAAGGTTCCGTTGGTTTTGACGCGAAATTTATCTTTGGGAGAGATAGTTGAACAATATTGGGATCTGAATTTTAAACCGCGAAGATCCACGATGCACACCTTGTCTCTTATCAGTGAAAATGAATTGGAGAGAGAAAAGTTACGCGAGTTCTCCGCTCCCGAGGGTCAAGAGGAACTTTATGATTACATAAACAGACCGAAAAGAAACATCCTGGAAGTTCTCGCGGACTTTCCTCACACCACCAGTAAAATGAACATCAATCTGCTGTTCGAGATCATGTCTCCCATAAAACCGCGTCCTTACAGCATCGCGTCTTGCTCAAAGGCCACCCCGAATAACGTTCAAATTTTGGTGGCGGTGGTCAAATTTAAGACTAGACTGATGGAACCGCGATTCGGTTTGTGTTCGAAGTGGCTGGCGAGTCTGAAAACTAACGACAAAGTAATATTTTGGTTACAAAAAGGAACTTTTCGGTTTCAAATCAATAAACCGATGATTTTGATAGGTCCCGGAACCGGAGTAGCTCCGTTTCGATCCTTACTCCTGGACATGACAATGGAAAAAGAGGATTTAAAGGAGTGTATTCTCTTTTTTGGATGCAGAAACAAAGACAAGGATTATCACTGCAGGGAAGACTTCGAACGTCTGTCAAGGGAAAATAATCTGAAAGTGTTCTGCGCGTTTTCCAGGGATCAAGATCACAAGATGTAAGTCTCACTCGATTAATATGATAAAAACGAATAAATAAAACAATTAAAAAAGATTTAAAAAACTCGCATTACCATCTTTTCAGATATGTGCAACACGTTATTCGTCAGAACGGAGAACTGTGCTGGCAATTTTTGCAAAACAGCGGAAGCATTTATTTAGCGGGAAGTTCGAAAAACATGCCAGACAATGTGCGCGATGAGTTTGTCAATTTGGCGAAGGAGATCGGCAAAATGACAAATGAAGAGGCCGAAATCTTCATCAAGCAATTGGAAAAAAACAATCGATATCAAACGGAAACTTGGAGTTAACAACACTTTCTTATAGTCAAAAGAATGTTGATAAAATATATATATACATTTTCAACAAGATATAAATACGAAAGTACAGACATTGATCAAAATTTGTATTGTTTTTATTTTGTAAATTATATGTAGAAAAATATACATACACAACACATTGGGATGTGTCTGTTGAGCAGATTTTGGAATAACGTCGACTTCCTGGTCATCGTGTAAATCTTTCGAACTCGCATCTTTCGCACGTTCAAGATTTCTTTACTTTCTCTTTGCCTTTATCGACGTTGTTCAATAGAAAATAATAATAATACAGTATCCAGCAATAACTTACACCAATCGCGCAGTATATGGAGGTATACGCTAACGGGAAGAACGGCAGTGTATCGCCAAAGAGGAACTTGTGGGACAATCCGTCGTATAACATAATCAACGGTAGTGATATGACATACAGCGCTTCGTGTAAGCGCAACAGATGGTTGTGACAATTGTTAAATACCAAATACGACGAAAACTCATGTACCAATAACATCAGTAATCGTAATGGAAATAAGTTAAAGGGATGGAGTAGTGGCATAAGACCGGTGAATCTAGCATTGCTTAAAATTAGGAATATTCTTCATCTATTGCTGCGAGGACACTAGAAAAGATTGATATATTTGTACACACGCACTCAGTTTCAAGACTTCAAATGTAAATGACACAACACATTGGGATGTGTCTGTTGAGCAGATTTTGGAATAACGCTGACTTCCTGGTCATCGTGTAAATCTTTCGAACTCTCATCTTTTGCACGTTCAAGATTTCTTTACTTTCTCTTTGCTTTTATCGACGTTGTTCGATAGAAAATAATAATAATACAGTATCCAGCAATAACTTACACCAATCGCGCAATATATGGAGGTACACGCTAACGGTAAAAACGGCAGTTTATCGCCAAAGAGGAACTTGTGGAATCCGTCGTATAACACAATCAACGGTAGTGATATCACATACAGCGCTTCGTGTAAGCGCAACAGATGGTTGTGACAATTACTCAACACCAAATACGACGAAAACTCATGTACCAGTAACATCAGTAATCGTAATGGAAATAAGTTAAAGGGATGGAGTAGTGGCATAAGACCCGTGAATCCAGCATTGCTTAAAATTAGGAATATTCGTGCATCTTCCTCATCTATTGCTGCGAGGACACTAGAAAAAATTGATATATTTTTACACACTCAGTTTTAAGAGACTTCAAATGTGAATGTACATTACAAAGTAACAGGAAACAAATTCTCTATGGGACGCAGTTTAGTTTTACTTACGACAAAGGAATGATCGCAGTTAATATCGCTTTCTCGTGCACGTGCCAGCCAAACATGAACGAGCTCAAAGCACAGAGCACTATGCATCTGATGAAACATTTCGAGTTCGCGTACGACTTTTTACGAAGTATGCACCATAATGCAGGCTACAAAATATTCAGTCAACATATATAATAACAGAAAAAAAATATATAAACTTATATTTAAAAAAATAAAAATTATTATATAAATGTCATATAAAACTTACAACAATTGCCAGAAAAATTAGACCAAATGTAACAACAGGAGTTGGAGTGGGCAATATAAGAAAACTTTGTTCCTGTACCAGACCGCCTGTCATTACTGCGGATTTGGCACCTTTTAACCATCCTAAACGTCGCCATAATACAGTCAATATTTTTTCTACACCAATATACAGAGCCCAACAATTTGCCGCCCAGTAAGAATGCACCAATCCTCTTTTAAATGGAAACAAACGGGACATGACCTGAAAGAGACAAGATTTAAAAATACAAGATTTGCAAACTGTTATGTTAGTTTTCATTATGTACAACTGTATACGTTTTAGAAGTTCGGAGAAATATTTTACCTGCGGTAACTGATTTATAAAAGGACCAAAAGATACAACCAATACCATCAGAACAACAAATGCAAGTGCAAATAACCGTTTGAAGAATTTGCCGCTGTTCAGACAATACGATCTCAACAGCCACACAATGTAAGCTGGCGCTATATACAAGTACAGATGTTTTAAGTTAAGTAAAATTGCAAACCACATTGCGCCCTTCAACACAGACATCTGGAAACACACGTATATATTGTAATTCTTTTTACTGTAACTTTTTGTACTTTTTATTGTAATTTTTTTTAGATAAATTCCGAAAATATATTTTGTAGAATATATACCTCCTTATCAATCTTTGAAACATTTGCCATTGACACCAACAAAATGCCTAGCAAAAATCCGTTATATTGAAAATGTATGTGGTCAACTATCAACAGACCTATGTTGCACAATGACAGAAACAGAAAAATTTGATAACTGATCTCAGATTTGCAAAATGTTTTACTTGCTCTGCAAAAAAATAAATATTTGTTCACAAAACAATATGTACTTGTTTTGAAAAAAAGTAATTTTTGCTTTAATTCGCAATTGTTTCACCGAAGATTTTTACTTAGAAGCAATTTGTAAAAGTTTAAGTACAAAATCTACTTGCTCTCTGACTCCATATGCCAACATCAGATCAGCAAACATAACAGTAGCTCTTTGAAAGTGTACAGTGGCTGGTGATGCAAAATTTAAATTTTCTACTTTAACCATCTCTGGATCAAAAAACACAGCTATCTGGCTGAGACAATACTCAAACCAGGCGAACAAAGGTGGATAATCGAGAGTCCATTGCGAGTGAGCGTTCACGTACCATTCCTTTATAGGCAGACTGTGTGTAATAGCCAACCAATTGCGATGTACTTCAAAATCTGTGGAATAACTTGAGGGAGAAAAAACACGTTCAGAAAATATTATACTGATTAAAATACATAAATGTTGCTCAAAGATAAAGTTTGCAAACGAACTTTAAGAAGATTGTACTTACTAAGCAGGTATCAAGAATATCTTAATGCAAGTAACCAAAAGAAAAGTTCGCCAAAGCACACCGTCTATGGCAGAGACAAACGTTTCAGGAACAACTTTTTCAATGTCCTGTTTTTTTTGCGTTTTTTCTAATTTATTTTTCTTCTTGGCGGTCATATTGCACACAGTTCCAGTAAATAACCAAATATCAGCGTATTACAGAGAAACCTAACCTAACTTAACCCGAGAATGATTACACCGGCACGTTGCAATTATGGCCTGTTCTACAATACAGTCGTAAGCTGTAAGTCGTAAGAAATTGACCAATCACAATCAACTATTTTTCTGTAATTGGTCTGTGATTGCTCAATTTCTTACGACTTACAGCTTACGACAGTATTGTAGAACAGGCTTATCGAAATATCGAATCGACCTCGCGTCGAATTGACATAGCACGAAACAGAACCAATAATCACACGGTAAGATAACATTTTTACTCACCGAGTTGAGTTTGTGTATTGTGTAGTTAGAAGTTGTCTAGTTAGAAGAGCTGTAACGGTGGTGACGAAAACCCCGCCGCAGAGAGTTTGTCGGCTCGTCGACCTGCTGAACTTCTAACCTCTGCAATCTTGCGCAATCTAACCTTACACATATCGTGCGGTACAGAAACATGGTACGGCCGATTGTGTGTTACGTCTCGAAGTGCTTCCCGAATTTTCGAATTTAGCTCGACTCGGTTAAACGTGGGTTTTTATTTCTCTTTTGGCGCGCCAGTTTTTAGCGGTCAAAAGCGAACGTTGAGATTGATGGACATTGGCACGTGATTTTTTTTCTCACTACGAACCACCCGTTGGACGTTCCATTAACGTCGATCGCCGTAACAATGTTTTGAAAAAAAAAAAAAAAAAAAATAAGTTGCTCTTCAAAAGTCAAGCAAAGAGACAGGAATCATTGAAAGTTTGTAAGGTTAGGAGTTTTTGTTTCTTTTCGAGTTGTATATTTTGTGTTGCACACGTCCTTTAATTAACCTACCTCCTACCTCTGACCTCTTATCTTATCTTATCGAAAACAACTTTCCCACAAATTCCGATTCTTCGATTTATCATAGTAGGACTTTATCTGAATTATACTCGTGTATGTCAGCAATTTGATTTGTAATTTGAGAAATTACACGTTTTATTTAATATAGAATAACGCCAAAAGTTATATATTTTTTAAATTGAATTAAAATTAAGTTTCACATTCCTCGTGAACTCTCGATTTTATTAATTTAGAGAGACATTATTATTAGATAAATGACTAATAAAGTTACAAGAAGTTCATTATTAGTTTTTAAGTAAAAGTAATTACAACAATGAACTTCAATATTAATTGTGTTAATATTTATTTTTTACAATTGCAGCAAAGCACAAATACGGACAAATTTTTGTATTGATAAATGAACTGAGGATTTATATTAATTATCAAAAATAAGAGTAATTACTTGACAGAGATTTTTATCTTGTATAAAGAAAACAGAAAACCACAAACATGGCAGGCACATACACAAAGAAAGAGTTTGGTGTAGGGCCAGAAGAACAGACCCTGCTGAAGGATTCCAATGGAACTCGCATAGTGCCTGTGAAAGGTAAAATAAGACTGAAGCATATCCCTTCCTGTATCTGCTATCATGGCAACGAAAGACCAGTAGCTTTCTTGTGTGCGTGTGTATGTGTGTGGAATTCCTTTTTCTTCCTTTTATCTTTAGTATATATACCTGCCCAAACCAGTCCTCAGAGAAAAGTCCCATGGAAATATCCTTGATATTGGCAGTGTAACTGTGTGAGGTGATTTTTAATGTTTGTTCTCATTTTATATACTATATAATTTTAATAATTTGTCATTTTTATGTGATTTATATGTTGTAATGTTATATAATTATATTTGTTGTGTACATATGATATAATTGTAGTATGAATTATATATCTCACAAATTATATATTTTGTTACTTTTATTATTTTTTACTTATACTGAGAAACTTGATACTTGCAAGCAATACGTAATGTAAAACAGTACAGAAATCGTTTTCGTATAAATCTCTAATTTTTTAGGATCAGAACCTGTACGTCTTTCACCGGGATGGGAAGGTACAGGTAGGCCGGACGACGAATTGAATTTTAAAGGTGTTACAATGGATCAAGCCGATCTTGAATTAAATCCTCCTAGAGATAGGTAGCGCGTTCGTTCATATAAAATTACAAATGCCAATTTGAATTTGATTACATTGCACGTACATATGCGTTTTGTGTTTTAGATTAAATTTAGTATTTTGCATACTGGTACTTCATGGAATTGGTGCCTTGATGCCATGGAATATGTTCATAACAGCTAAAAATGTAAGGAGACAATTTATACTTTAATATAATATAATATATACAACAGTATATATGTTATATATACATGTTACACTTTTTTACAGTATTTTGTCAGTTATAAATTATCTAAGGATTACACTGGTATAGATACAAATTATGCGACAAATTTTCTTTCATATTTGGGATTTGCGTCGCAAATTCCGAATTTGTTTTTTAATTGGCTGAATATATTTTTGCAATTGGGGTATGTATGTTTTCTATACGATTTATAACTTTGCTTATATATGTATAAAATTGTGAAGTGACTTGTATCTGTAGTATCATCAACGTTTGACAGCAGATTGCTGACCATTTGAATAATATATAGTATAATAACAAAATAATTTATAACAGTACATATAACTTGCTGAAAAAGTGTTTATGAATTGTTTTTAGAGGCAACTTGACAACACGTATAGTATGGAGTATTTTCGTGTTGGTCTTGGTATTTGTTTTTACTGTTGTTTTGGCAATGACCGACAGTTCTGGTTGGCCCGGAGTATTCTTCTGGGTTACTATGATATCCGTAGTTATATTAAACAGTGAGTAATGTGTGCTATATAAATGTGATTTTATTACTAAATAAACTATAAGTTCAAAAGTTATTTATTATTTTATTATAAAATTATTTTCATGTTATTAGTCATTATTTATTTTAAATTATTTATAAAATCAAGTACATGATTATTTGAGATTACACAATTGAATATAAAATTGTATGATTTAGCTGCCAATGGAATTTATCAAAATTCAGTGTTTGGTATGGCGGCAAAATTACCCAGCAAATACACAGGCGCTGTTATCTTGGGCTCGGTAAATAATAACATCGATTTAATTCAATGATTTATTGTATAAACATTTAGTTATTTTTCGTCGTGTATTATTTCCAGAATATTAGTGGAACTATTACAGCTGTAATAAATTTTCTTGCTCAAATAATGTCACCGAACGCGCGCACCGCTGCAATATATTACTTCATCACGGCTTTGTTCATCCTTCTGGCTTGCTTTGATACGTATTTTGCACTTCCGATTAATGTAAGATATATATATATATAAAGATTTATATATACTTTGTCATATATTGTGTTGTATACTTTTCTCTACATTAATTATTTATGTAAAACATTTTCTACTGTTAAATTGCAGAGGTTTTATCGATATCACGAACTACTTTATCAGAAAGAAATGAAGAAAAGACAGTTGGAAAACAGTTCAAGAGGAAATCACAGACCGCCCTACTGGACGGTATTCAAAGGATGTTTTCCGCAATGTTTCAATACATTTTTGATCTTTTTTGTGACTCTAGCACTTTTCCCGGCCGTTCAATCTGACATACAGTCTTCAGATATAAATTTTATAATAACATCCGAACATTATAGCAGTGTTATGTGCTTTCTGACATTTAACATTACTGCCATGCTCGGAAGTTCACTTGCGTCGCTGGTTCAGTGGGTATGTAAATTTTTATAACTATATATACATAACAATATTTGACATTTTAAGATATCCTACACACCTCATTTTGCATATTTGGGCCATATGTAAGAATTATTATTGATCTTTTTATACACAGCCCAGCAAGAAATATCTGATCATTCCTGTAATTCTGCGTCTCGCTTACATACCGTTGTTCTTATTATGCAATTATCAACCAGCTCGTACGGAAAGAATATTGCCAGTATATATAGATAATGATTGGATATTCTGGATCGTTGCCATTACAATGGGCTTTAGTAGTGGCTACTTGTCATCGTTATCGATGATGTACTGTCCAAGGTAGGTGATATAAACTTACTTTGATAAAATTTTATTTGAATCGAAATAGTTTGCTAGATAAATTTGTGAGACAAGGCTTTTACCACGCAGTATTTTTTTTCTTCTGCATCAATTAATTTAAAAAAAAAAATTACAAAATCTATGAAAAGAGAGAGGAAATTATTACAATTTATTGTGGATTATAATTTATACACATTTAATACATACTTTATTCAGAATGGTGGATTCGCAATACGCATCGACGGCCGGTATGTTCGGAGCGGCTTCCTTGATCACAGGAATTTTCACAGGAATTTTGTTCTCAATGGTGATGCCGAGTGTCGTGGCCACTGTGACGTTTTGAAAATAATTTTGTCTCGAAATGCTCGCAATTACTCAGGAGTTAGAAAAAAAATTGACATAGATAACACGCACTGTTTAAAAAAAATCTCAAAAATGTGTCCACAAAAAAGAAAATGTATTTCAGACGTTCTTGAGATGTTTTTTAAACGCGCATTAAACGCTGAGTGTTTGTCTCTCACAGTTACATACAAACAACTATTACGACAAACAAAAAATGCAACAGTTATTCTTGTCTTTTGACGAGGTAACAATCGGAAAAAAAAAAAAAAAAAAAAACAAATGATATTTCAGGAAAGAAACGACAGCTGTTTCAGCACAAATAAGAGTAACGTTTTGGAAAGTGTTTACTTATACATAAGTTAAATCTTCATACATATATATATATATATATATATAAAATTATACAACTCTTTAGATAACAGAATTAATTATAACGCGAAGCAAGCTTTTAATTTAAGATAAGAACCTTTCGAAGTGAGGTGTGTTTTTCATAAGCGTGTGACATAACATTTTTATTGATGAGTTTTCACACCCTGTTAATAGTTAATTACGAACGTAAAAGTAGTTTTACGAACGTAAGTTATATGTTACATACATAAGATCATGTGAAGTGCATTAATACCACAGGATGATTTACAACAGATCTGAGCGATGTAACTTTCCTTGAGAAACTTGAAAACTTTCACATAAATTAAACGGTAATTTTACTATTTTTTCTGCTTTTTTTTTAGATTTAAATGACGCAAAAAGTTTACATGAAAAAGTTTCATATTTCATCTTGGAGAAAAGTACATTACATTGTATTACATCGCTAGTCTGTGCTGAAAAAAATACTGAAATCCATGGTTTTACGAGGATTAGAAAAACTAATTCTCTATTATTAATGCCCCTATATGATACCGGACCAATAAGCCTTAAAGTTATAAAAAGAAGAACTATACGGCGCTCCAGTTTTTACATTGTTCAAACAGAGACCATTAAGTCTCGATAGAGATTTAATGAAACAAGTATATTTAGAGATTGATATATTTAAATTGTTCCTGAATTTTGTTTTCTTTACTGATTAAGTTTAAAATACAGAATTATATCATTGGGTTCTTTAATATTTTCACGTGCTTAAAGACGTGATAAAAAAATTATATCTTCTTAAATAAGTATTTCTATACGTTACAATTTTATATAGACTACATAATATTTACGCCTTTACGTTGCCATATTTACATTTTTCTACAGAAGCAACAAACAAAAGCTAGTTGGGTTGTAATTTAATTTAATATACTGGTCAAATACTAAGTAAGTATAATTAAAACACAAATAATTATACTTTACTATATATATACATATAAAACTGAAATTTATTATCAGTTCTCGAACTATGCGATTGAAATGTTTATAATAAAATTAAGGCCAACACATTGATTGATTGCAAAGTAATACAAAATAAAAACCTAGTACAGTGGCCTTTTTTTCTTACAATTTGATGAGGATCTGACATATAAAATCTTTTTCTCAAATCTTTATATTTATGTGTTTTGCAATTAACTACTAAATCGTGTATTAATGTTTTTATGGTTGTTTATTTAGCATTTTTAGAAAATAACAGTGTGGATATTTGAAATATTAGTTTTTTAATTTTATCAAAATGTGTTCAAGTAAATAAACTTTCCGTAATAAGTACTTTATAAGTGTTTTTTTATGATACTTGAAATAAATTATTAATACATAAGACTGCAATGAATTATTCCGAGAAAAGAAAGAGTTCTCCTTTTATGCGTAGAAGGAAAAACTTTCATCCTCTCTCTCGCAGAAACGATTCATTGTTCTCTTGTGTACACACTATATATATTCCTCGTCACATATGCATTTTATAATTACTCTACTGTAAACCTCTCTATAACTCTCATCTCATTATCTCAATTAATGGATTATAAGGGTAATCAATCATCATCTCTCTTGTATCGGTTCTCGATTTAACTACTAATGATCGATGAACGTAAACAGTTACATTATAAACGCATTTGAAGTAAAAGGAACATTCTCGAGAGAATTTTGACTCTTTGTTATACAGTGTTTTTTTTTTTAGATTACAAGCAGATGTTTTTTTCGCAGAATCACAAAGTATATGTTTTAGATAGAACTTTTTGCTTAGATCATTATCTCATTAAAGTGACAAAAGCAAAGATACATTGTAAATTTTGGATTCTTACAAAGACAATCTCTCCTCCGTGTAAAGCAGTGCAGACAATAAAAATACTAGAAGAAATTCGATAAATAATTCGAGTGGGAACTTCATGGAATTTCGAGAACAGAAAAGACACGATAGATTTAAAATGGAATATTTTTGTATGGATTTTCTCAGTCATACGAGTACATTTTTATTCGATGTAATTGTTTTGCGTATATCGCACCGTTTAGATTGTATAAAAACTCTACCTTCGTTATAAAATCTTTTATGCAATATATATATATATATATGTATATATATATACGTATATATATATATGTGTATATATACATGTATATATATATATATATATGTATGTGTGTATATATATATATATACATACACGGTTTGAACGCACATATTTTACATTTCTACATAAAAATGATACATCTCTTGAAACAAGGTCGCGAATATTTAAGTAATTGTTATTTTCGTGCGAAGAGCTTTATCATTTCTATGTAAAATGAACGGGCATAAATATATCACACAAGTATGCATACAAAATACAGGGTGTCTATAAGTAATTGCAGACTTCTCTGAATTACACGTGTTTTTAATCTTGTCTATATTAATATTTTCGAAATAAAAAAAAAAGTTATAGCAAAACTTGTTTAATACTTCTCTCGTTCGTTAAAAGTCTATCTAGCTGCAATTTCTGTCACTTCTGCAGTCTTATATTTATAAGTGCATACTTTCATATTTGTATTTAACATCAATTCGTCAATTTGACATATGCAAATCGACGAATTTTCCCTCCATACTATTCACAAATTTTATACGAACAAAGAAATCACGAATAATGTTCGCGAATCGCGCACAGAGTCTGTTGCTAGCTTTATAAATAAGTAGATTTAGAGAGAGACACTGTTTTCAAATCGTTCACACAATAATATGCTTATTGTAGAAAAGTTGTTAAATAAAATAATTATAAATTTAACCCATTTATAGAATTTACATATATACTTCAAGCTTACATTTAAAGAGCTCCCATATTTTGTTACACAGTTTTAATTTTTAATACTTACGTACAAAGTATTAAAAAAAAAATTAAAAAATTATATATATATATGTATATTTACACACAATTCTTATTGAAAAAGTTTTATTCTGGTTACATACATTTACCCTTTCATTTAAAATGGTCTACTATAACTTAAGTAACTTGAAAAAAACTTGATTTTCTAAAATTTACAATTAGATATATTGAGGTTATATATATAAATAAGTTGTAATTGGGATGATCTTTTAAAATAGATGTTATTTCGTTCCCTTAATACGAGTAGATTATACAAGTATTATTAAGTAACAGAGAGATTTAGAATAGATAGAGAGAAGATCGTGAGCATATTTAGCACATATAGTACACCAATCTTCATGAGTTCGGTTTCGCAAGAGGTAAAATCTCTTTTTTCCGAGATTTCACCCTCTCGCGGAACCGATTTTATGAAAAATGATGCACAACGTCTTTATATATATTACGTCAGTATAAAAGTTTACATAACGTAAACCTTCTCAATTTTTTTATACGGAAATACTTCTTTGGTCTTTGGGCAGATCACTGTGCCGTTGTTTTCTTGAGCCATTTTGTCTAACGCCTGTAACAAAAAAAAAAAATGAAAATAATTGAATAATTGAATAAATTACTTTATTATTCCGTACTCGTAGTACGAGGACCACTATATTTTATGTAATTAATGGATTTGCTTACTTCCTCGCCATATACATATCCGTTAGGCATCATCATCGGCTGATTATGTTCATTTAGTGGTTTTCCGCTTATGCTACAAAAGAGCCGTGACTGCGAACAATGAGCAAACGGCAGCGGTGCGGCTAGTTTGTTCAATGCTTCATTACAAACTGGACAATTAGGATTTCGACCCTCAATACTTGCGCTATAACATCGAGGAGTCTTGAGAGCCGATAATCCAGCTTGTAAAGTCACCGTAAATACGCTCTGGCTAGCCAATTGAAATAATCTGTAATTTTCATGGCGAAACGTTTCAATCAGCTTGTCCCACCTGCGAGCAATCAATATAATTAGAACACATGTTCGCAAAAATAGTAAATTTATAAATAAATAAATAATAATTTACAAACCTATTTTCATCCAGGAGATCTTTATAAGGACTTAAATACGCGTGTGCTGGAAAGGCTAACTGGCCCATGCAACACTGAATCTCCTGCAATTGATAGTCATCGTAGTTGGAAAAATATTTTCGAGCATGTTTCACAGCATCGAGCCGTCTGTCGGATCGCACTAGTTCAATAAATTCCTGTACACGTAAATTAAATTCCATTGTGCTACCGAGTTTTCTCAACTTAGAGCGATTGTCGTGGCACCAACCAATACATCTTGAAGTTTCATGATTAGCCAAAGATTTCTCTACCTCTCTTGATACCATAAAAACATCTAAAACAAATGTCAATAGATTTATAATATATATTTACAAAATATATAAAATTTTTATATGTATAGAAAATATTATAAGATATTGCAAAAAGATATTTATGTAAAAGAAAGATTTTATAAATATTATATCAAACAAAATACCGATATTTGTTAAATCTCTGAGTTCACTGCTATCTGCTAACTTGGTCGCTGTTTTATAATATCCTTTGCGTAGGAAATAGTCTACTAGCATTCTATCTAATCTCTGTCTTCTCCACTGATTAACAGCACTTGGAGAAGAGTTTGCGTGTTCCTTTAAATGATCCAATCTTCTTTTGCACACCATCCCGGCTTGTAACTCTTCCGCAATGGATTCCTGAGCTTTACGTTTTAAAACTTGAAGCCTGGCGACCACACCACCAAGCAGTTTGCTTATTTCTCCAGTTTCTACATAAGACTCGTCAGTTTTCAGACTTTTTTCAAGTTCATTAGATACTGCTTGAACATAAGAAACTTCTCGGTCCAAGGTTTTTTGTGTGGAGCGAAATTTTTTGTTTAAAAGTTCATATGGTACCTGAAAAGTGAATTATTGGGAAATGCAAATCATATCAAGCACATAAAAATCGATCGTGATAAGTTTCTCATCCTTCTCTCTCTCTCTCTCTCTCTCTCTTTTCTCTGCGCTGGAAAATGACAAAAGAGAACTATACAAAGAGAAAAAAATGGATATTTACCTTTAGCGTAGGGTGTTCAAGGCTCTTCACATCTGTCATGATGATTTGGTTAAATGGACGAGATTTACGATGATGAGCGTACAGAGACAACGACGTAGGATACAACGCGAGACCGCTGATATTTACGTCAATTTAATTATTGCGCAGTAATATGCCATTTATGTGTTTTAAAACATGAAGCGTGAATAGAAAAAAGCAATGATAACAAAGTTCAAAGAGAATTCACGCGACGTTTTGTGAGGCACATTACTTTTTATTCACTCTGGTTCACTTTTCAGTCATATCAGTTTGTTTATGCATGATTTTCAAGGTGTTTAGTCTTGCCGGAGTAACGTAGATGGCACCATCGTTGACAATAGTGTGTAATTCAAAATCAATTCTAAACAAATATACAAGTCCCTGTTTAATGAGCTGCACACATACGAGCGTAATACGAGAGAGATGTCCTTTAATTTTCTGAAAATTTAGAAAAGAACGATTAGTAAGTTATAATAAAAAATAAGAAGAGAGAGAGTGAAACATACAGAAATAATTAAGAGAAATAAAGAAATAAAGTTTTTTTATTTTGTTTATTTTAAACGTGCATATACTCCGATTTCTCAAAAGAAAAAGCATGTTTGCGACACGGCGTTGTCAAAATAAACCGCGCGCAAATGTGACTTTATTTTTCGCTACACGCATGTCTGAGAACGATATTTAGATTGTTGAAAATGTTTAACAAACAATAAATCTGAAGATATTAAAATGTTAACATGTGTTTATACGGTGATTCGCTTTTTGTTTCAGCGATCGGTAATCAGCGTCGCTGGTAAAGCGACCGCTGGAACGAGAAACAACGCGGCGCGTGTGAAAGGCGAATTCTCTCTCCTCTCACTCCCCCAGAAAAGATTTCTTCTGACCTCCGGCGGTTTGCGGAACGATTTGGGCGCATTGTATATCGCATGTAAATTTGTGTTTCGCGCCGTACGAGCGATTCGAGCAATCAGCGCCACGCGGCGACCGTATGCCGTTATTATTCGCGAGTCGTTCGGCGAATCGAGCGCGTCGCATTGTCGGCCAATGGCGCTCGGCTGCGCTCGGACGCGTTCGACTGCGCTCGGACCGCTGACGGCGCGCGCGAGTTGTTGGGCAGCCGGGGGCCGCCATTTTCCTCCAAGAAGGGAGAAGAGTTCAGAGCATTGTGGCAACTGTCTATGCGTTTAATTTACGAGTCGAGTTAAAAGTGGTGAGTCAAAACGCGAAAACTGCACTCGCGTGATCCGCGAATCGTGTGCTATCTACACGTACGTACCGGCCGTTCGGGGCCCTCGGTGCGCCCGGTGGCCAGGATATCCGCGCAATTTTACCGTACACTGTGTGCCGAAGTGCGGCGCTCACCCGGTAGACGGACGCCGCCGCAACCGCCGCGCGCCGTTGCACAGAATTCATAACGAGAGAATCTATCTGTGAAAGACCGCAGGAAAATCGCGTAAAATCGGACAAAGGAAGAACGAGGAAGGAGGATAGCGCGTGAGCGCGGAAGAGAGAAAGAAAAGGACAAGACGCTTCAGGAAGAGAGAGAGAAAGAGATAGAGAGAGAAAAGGAGAGAAAGAGAAAGACAACGCGAGAGAGAAAGATAGAATCGAGCGAGCAAGAAAGAGAGAGAGAGAGAGAGACGAACACAGAGTGTGATTAGCTGGTGATCGTAGTGTGGTCGCGCAGTGAACTCGGTTTGCGGACAACATCGAGTGTTACGACGCTAAGCGGGATACCAAGGGGAGAGTCGCCTCCGACAGGTTAGTACGATGTGCGATCATGGCTTCTTCCTGTATGCGCGCGCGCGCGCGCCAACCAGGCAGTGGCGCGTATACGCGAGGACGTTACGCGAGGTTTTCTCGGAGCGGCGTCAGTGTGTTGCATGCACGCGGCCCCCGAGAATTTCGCTTCTTCTCCGCGTGTGCGTAAACGTGGCCGCGTGCGTGTGCGTGCGTTGCGTGCACTCTTTGTGCCGCGCCGGTAGGGATACACGGTGTGGTCTCTCGCGGTTTGTTTCCTCACATCATCGCCCGATGTCTCTTACCGCGATCTGTGTCTCTTCTTCGAATGCGATTTTTACGTTTTCGTCATCTGATTCTCGCAGAGACACTGTGCGCGAGTCGCGCGAACATAAATAATAAAAAAGTGGAGCGCATTTTGTTTACACATTTTAATTAATGACCAATACGGCATAGTAATTACGAATTCTCGAGTTTACAAACATCGAGAGCAAAACATGCGTGATAGTGCGATATCTCGAAGAATATTCCGCAACATTCTTCGCAAAATGTGTTTGAAAGCAAAATTCTTTTCCAAGTAAAAAATCATTTGTTATTGTTATTCGATGCGAGAGAAAATGTTGGAATAGTTTCAAGCAAATTCCGTGGGGATGTGTCACGAGTTTTACGTGCGTGCGTGCGTGCGTACTATGAAAATGAGGTATTATGATAAGACCCGAGTATATAATACATGTAGACGCCGAGAAAGAAGCGCGCGCGTCCGAGGGAACGAATACCACCTTTCTTTTTGCTCGCGCGCGCTCAGCCGAACTGTGGCCCGATTATTGCTTCCCCTTCCTTTCCTTCTTCTGTCGACTGCGCCTGCCTTCACTTCTGCTCTACACTTTGCCGCTACGTTCGTGTTCCTACGATCGCGACTATGCTGAGTGTGGGGTATCTGGATATTCGTGACTCACGTCAGAGTTGCTTCCACATCTTCTTGACATCTTCACGTGCTTGACACAGATGTCATTGCAATTAAATGGAAAGAGATACATCAAAATGAGTAACAAGTAAATTTATTATTATTTTATGTCAAACGAGGAGGACGTGCACGGCGCGCTTATGAAATTTATCAAAATATGATATGTTTGTTTGCAAAAGTGTTTTTCGAACAAATCTTGACGTCGTCGTACGAGCGATTGTTTTGTCGGTTAACGAGATAACAATTGACACTGAGTTACATCGTGTATATATATATAAAAAAAAAAAACGATCAATCTAGCAATCTATTACGTTTGTTTATCGCATGAGAATGATTTGTTGTATCAGACGGCAACACTTAAATATAATCATTCGCACGCAAAGAGATTCGTCATTATACTTAGAAATATATTCAATCAAAAAAATTTATATTCGATAAAAAAAACTGTGCGTTATTGCACAATTCCGATCCGCGAATATTGCCGAGTAATCCTTTTGACGACGTTGTCTTGTGAAACTTTCTCACTGCAGATGCGTACAGCTGATTGTGTTAAGAGTGTTGATGGCAATTTATAATCACACAAGAATAACAACTCCGCGAAGTTTCAAAGTCGGTTTTGAAAAAAAAAAAAAAAAAAAAACTACGTATAATAAACACACAACTAGATAAGTAAACAAAAATGCTTTTTATCGGTTTTTACGTTAAAATAAATCTGTACGAAAGAAGAAAAAAATTAAGTTATCTGAAAAGGTTCTTATTACACTTGTAAAAAGTTACCGAGCGTGGTGACGTGTCGTGAATTAATCACACGCGAGGAGTTCAAAGTATTTTTAAAAGGCATTCATTACATAAAGTGATACACGCGTAAATCAATGGAAGAGAAAGTGGAGTTCTTTACCAAGTGTAACGCCTCATTCAAAATGAGAATATCAAATGTTTTCATATTACGTACATACATTTTCCTGTTTATACTTTTGGACAATTAATGTTAATTATAATTTCATATGTAAACAAAGATGATGCATATTAATATAAATTAAATTTCGCGACATCTCTTTTGAGAGATAAAGAGAGAACGTGTTACGTTAAAAGTATAAGTCGCAAGCAAATAAATAGGAATGGGAGTATGGAAGGAGGGAAAGAAGAATAAAGGAGAACGGAGAAAGAGAGAGATACGAATGAATGGTATTCTAGAAGCGTCCAAATGGCGGTCGTGCTTGGCACAATAAGTAATTTATGGCATTCGTGCCACCCTTAAACGTCGTGCGGCTTTCCACCATTCCCCTTCTTCAACTATGACACTGCGGCGTCGATGTTATTATACCATAATTTGGTCGCCAATAGTGTTTCGCCAAAATAGCACTTGACACGTGTATTGCGTCAATGATGAAAACGAAAAAAGAATCTATCTCATAAAATTGAACTCGCGTTTGAGAACATTTAAAAATTGGAGATCAGAGACTCTGGCAATTAAAAAGCGATTATTATACTTTCTCTTACTAATTTATTGTTTATTACTATTTTATCTTAATTTTATTTCGGAATTTTACGTAATGTTTTTTTTTTTTTTTAAGTTTTGTATTTATGTATATTTATTTATATTTAATTGATATATAGATAAATTTTATCAATTTTATGTGCTACATTTTATCTGCGCATAATAAATTTATAAAAAAGTTCGAGAATGTCAAATGTTTACTTCATAATACACTCTTTCGCAATCAATCAGTGCGAGATCAGTTTGCGGATAGAAAGTTTCAATAAAGAGAGCAAGTGCAAAGTAATTAGAACGACCGAAACCAAAGCTTGTTCTCTCTATCTTTCTTTCTCTCTCTCCCTCTTCCCCTCCTCTCTCTCTCTCTCTCTCTTTCTCTCTCTCTCGAAATGTATGTTACATGAGGCTCGTGTATGTGAGTACACACACGATAAGCTTTAAAGAGAATACACGGGTACGTTTGACACGGAGCATCCAAGCATTGCATTATCTCTTCCCAACAAATATTGAACTACCTTGATTACTTATTCATACAATTCTGCTTTCTTTCTTTTTGACTCGCAAGACTCGAGCGAACTAATAATATGATTGTTTGTGTTTCTTGTTACGTGCGTTAGATGCCAAGCAAAGAGCAAATCGTGTTCAGCGTTCAACTGTTTTTTCTTTTTCTTTTTCTTTATTTTTCTATATTAGAAAATTACATCATTCATCTTTCTGTGATAAAATTCTGTGGCAAAATCAAGTTGCGCATTTCACGTACGTACGTGCAGTATATGTTTTCTTCGCGAGCTTTTTTTTTCTCGTCTCGTGCGGCAAGTGTCTCTAGTAAAAAAAAAAAAAAAAAAANTATCATGACGGAGGAATACGGGTCACAGCGTCGCTGAATAAGCAACTACCGACCGACCGTCCGTGTCGCTGCTTGCTCTCTGCAAGCAAACGTTCTTAAACGCGCGCGCGTGTTTTACTGTCTCGCAGGTGACGATTTCCGCCACAATAAAAAAAAAAAAAAAAAAAAAAACCCAAGATAAAAAACCAAAATATATCATGACGGAGGAATACGGGTCACAGCGTCGCTGAATAAGCAACTACCGACCGACCGTCCGTGTCGCTGCTTGCTCTCTGCAAGCAAACGTTCAGCAAATTACGTAAGGCCAGAAACGAGAGCTCGTTTAAATGCCTCGTTTGCCGACAACTTCGAATAACATATCGCGAAGAATTTTTTTTTCCTCGCGAGAAAGCTTTCGTTTCTGTAAAATTTGCTCTTCGAGAGATCCAAGGTCAGACTCGCGATTCTGGTTTTTTTTTTCTTTTTTTTATTTCGAAATTACAAAAAATACTTCATCAGTTCAGATAACACACATAGTTACACAAGATCAATTTGCTCTTAATTAATTTGTTTTCGAAGTAAGCAAAAGTAATTGATAATAATTTGAAAATTTTTTCACGCAACATATTGCGTGCAATATACGTCGAAGTGTACGCGCTAAAATCTTTTACAAACGATGAGTTTATTACGAGCGACGGTACGAAGGCAGAGACGTTTATCACCGTAATTGCGAATTAACTTTGGAACGCGATAGCGCACACAACCGCGCAAAGTGGCATCTCCGTTGTTTTTCTCTCGAAAATATTTTGCCGTCTTTCCCCACCGATAACTCGTCAACTTGGTCATACTTATCTGATACGTACACACATTTCGTGCTTTTCTCTCAAAACCAATTTATTATTTGCTCAAGTTCGCGCTGAAATACGCGACTTTGAGTTGAGTTTAAATCTCTCAGCTTTTGTTTGTGCGAATTTTAGGTTTTGTTTTCTACTTACAACGTACAATATCATGTGAAATGATTTTGCAAAACACCAGATAACGCGTGCGTTTACGTGCGTTCGTCGAATCGAAAAAAAATTTTTTGTTTCTCAAATAAAAAAAAGTTTCTCGATTTAGTATTTTAATGAAACAGTCGCGGAAGCGACTTCTAACAACGGAAACATCGTTTCGACACGAGTTGTGTGTATCTGGATACGGCGGCTTTTCGAAATAACGCCGGTTCGACAACTCATATAACGCGCAACACAAAGTCGTCTTCGAGCTCGAGTTTGCTCGCTGTGTAACGAGGTCGAATATCGGGTTCGCTTAATCCGAAAGCGTCACGAAACTCGTGAAGATTTAGTGAACGTTCACGCACACGTGAAACACACACACACATACATATGAGGAGAGAAACTAACACTGTTATTCGCGCAATTATACTACGGTCTCTCTTTCCTTCCCCCTCGTCTTTTTCCTCTTTCTCACACGCGCGCCCGCATAAAAACTATTTACCACTTTACCGTCTCGACAACAAATGACGAAATAATTTAATTAATTGCACTGGTGTTGAGATAAAATATAATTTTTGCGTTGAAATGTTTTTTGTAAATTATTATTATTATTATTATTATTATTATTATTATTATTATTATTATATGTAAAATAGATGAATTGTGTCTTGGAACGTGATAGCAATCGAATAATTCGCGTCACACGTGGAGCGAGATCTCGAGACGCATCTATTTCGCTCGCTTTGCGTAAACGGCCAGATAAGAAAAGATCAATCGCGAGTCCAGATCAGAGATAAAAAAAAAACATAATTTCATCGAGAGCACGGTGTATATTCAGTATATAACGGTCTTTGCTAACGACAAGTCTCCGTGTATCGTGCCACCATCCTGTGTGTAGGACCTCGAAAATGCAACTCATTCAAATTACACAGCATCGGTTTCTCGACTCTTGGATCCATTACATATTACTCATCCGGGTCGAACTTGCTTCAACTTGCGAATTTCAACACACAGTTCCGACCGACAGTTCAAACATTATTCAACGAGTATCTCTCGCGAGATTGCTTTGAATTAACGATACATGATATCATCGCGCCGCTCTCTCTCTCTCTCTCTCTCTCTCTCTCTCTCTCTCTCTCTCTCTCTCTCTCTCTCTCTCGCTCTCGCTCTCGCTCTCGCTCTCGCTCTCGAACAAAAGATTTGTTAATTCGCGTTCTCCTGTTTCGTCTGCCGTTATTTTTGACCGAGCAATTACAACGCGCGAGGTCGAATCGGAAAAAAGGAGGGAAAGACGGGTGGAATCGGCGAGAGGAAGGGAAACGCGCGGGTCAAAGGGAGAGCGGGCGAGCGGGTGGGTTGGGGGAGGGATGAAAAAAATGTCTCTGTCTCGCGAGTGTGAGAGCGTGAGAGCGTTAGTCGGGTA